CCCCAAAACCCCAAAACCCCAAAACCCCGTGGGACTATTTGAAAAATGTAAAGATTAGTAAATCGATACTACTAAATATAATTCATGAATGAACTTTTGGTGTAGGACTTTTAATCTAAGACATATCAGCATAGTTCAACCACCTAGAGTAACTGTTCATCCTCTCTCTTCTAAGGTTTTACTAGATTTTGCTATCATCAAACATTGACTGTTCCATATTTATTGTATTTGTATTTCCAAAGGTAGTAAGGTAGTTTCTAATATTTACATCTTATCTCGAGAATGATTTCATTTGTTTATCTTAGCTCATCTGTAATGTTCTTGATTGCGTCTAATCTAAGCTGTTATTAGTCAAACTATTTTTCCCTTTTGTTTGCTAGTTCTTTAACTATATGATTTGTTTTATATCAATTTTCTTTTGAATCAACTTTTAAGCCTGTCTAAATGGACTCTAAATCTCCATCTTATCCTGAAGATCTTCCTTAAACTTATAAGAGGTGTGACTTTAAGCCTAATCAATTAATTTGTTTAGTACTTTATCATGACTGTTTACAAAGGACTGAAAGAATGCATTGTTTCTTAAATTGTCTTCAAACTGCTTGACATCTGTATTGATTGGTTTTGATTCAACCTGCCTCATCTAAATGAGCTCTAAATTATTGATGATATCTTAAAGGTTTTCTATCTTTTATTTTTAAGGACTCTTTTTTAAGCAATTTACTTCACTAGAAGTAGAGCTATCTATAACTTTTTATTTAGATCTAGATCTCTGCTCTTTGACTTGATATTCATCACTGTCTTCTTCATTCTTGAAATTCTCATCTAAGACATCAATAATTCTTCTGACTTCTTCTTTATCTACCAAACTCTCTCTCAATTATTATTATGTATTCCTCTTTTCAATAGTTTCTTATAATTTGGACTCTAATTTATCGAGTAAAGAAGTATTATTAGTCCTATATCTTTATACATGTTTTAGATCTTTTCTACTTTATCTAATACTACGAACTCTGCTTGATAAAGAGTAGAATGGATTATTCGAAGAATTATTGTTTGTAGTTGAATTTTCGATAATATTATTCCTTGAGCTTTAATTAATATACTCAGATTTTTTTGGTCTTCCATTAAAATATTGATGATAGGTTTGAAATTCTTGTCCTTTCTGATTTGATTCATCAACTAATTCCAAAAAGCTTTTGGGCTAATTTCATTCAACTTAGCTTTGTCTAGCAGTTTTACTTGTAATAGTTTGCATAAAAGGCTACTAGTCTAATATTTCTTATACTTAGAGCTATTATTTCTACTTCACTCTTTCAACTTTTTTGAAAATTTATTTTAACTTCGATTAAACATTCAATTTTTACATTATAATCGAGTTATTATCACTGTAAGTATCATTTATCTAGTAATTTGGTGTGGCTTGCTTTGTCATTGTCTATTAGTTCCTTCCTGTGCTGCTATAATGTTGCTATATAGAATCTTTGTCTTTCCAAATTACTTGATTCTTATCTTCAACTTGGTCTTTAATGATATTAATTTTGCTTGTGTCTTAATTATTGGAAAACTGGCTTTACTAAAAATAAGATCTTGATTATTATTTTTTAATAGTTAGATAATTCTAACTATATTCATTAATATTGATTGAAATTTCTGCTGCCTATTATTTTTATTTTGGAAATATGTTTTTGTTCATATTCCTATAGTTTAGTGCTATCTAGTTAAATTATGACTTATCATAACTTAATTAAGAAGACAGTAATCGACTATTTGAATATTTTGTAATCGTATTTTCCTCTTGTAGACCATTTACAAGTGAGGAATTCATATTTCTTGTTATTTACTATGTCTCTTAATCATATTTCTATTCATATTCACTTATTAGATTAGGCTATTCATCTTAAAATGGTTATTATGATTATTTTTGAGGCATTTATTGATTTTAAACTATCATATCTTATTACTTCGAAGTTTCATCCCTGTCTTTATATTCAGGATGACTGATTTTATTATGATTCTCCTCTAGTCTAGTCAGACTTTACAACTTGCTGTAACTCATTCTTACTATTTGAGAATTACCCTCTTTATCCAATAAAAAACCCTAGCTTCCTTAATGATTATTTCTTGAGATTTTCTGCAATTATCTTCTTAGATATTAATCGTCTCTTTTTTAATTTAATTCATAGTATTGATAACTTTTTTATTAATCTTCAAGAATTCATTGAGATCTCTGATGTCTCTAAGTATGACTATCATAAGATTCGGGAACTGCGAAAAAGTCTACATTCTGATATAATTCTCTAATCTTTCCTCAATGTGTTTGAAATTCAGTAGATCTCTTTATTCCTTAATTTTTCTACAAATTATCCATGTATGCAGCTTGTTCATTACCCTGTTTCAATTTTTCTATTTCATACGCTGGCTCAGTTGAGAAAGGATGTCCTAGTATTTTGTATTTAGAAAGCTATTAAAGCTTAAAATTTGTCTAATTGCTATGAATCATTGGATACTTCAGCTATGCATTTTGATTAAGCTAGCTTATTTGTTCTAGACTAGTCTTAGTCTATTTGGCTGTTGTTCTCTTTCTTACTTAGCTAGAAACCTTACTCATTACTTTATTTAGATATAATAAAAATCTCAAATTAAAATATTACCGAACACATTTAGGTTAAAATATAATTCTTTTTTATCTTTAAACATGATAAAAGTAGGAAGATGGGGTTTTGGGGTTTTGGGGTTTTGGGG